GCGGCGGCGGGGCCGGGCCGGGCTCCGCCACCCCCAGCGCCGCAGCGGCAGCAGGAGGAGGAGGAGGAGGAAGGGGAGCGGCGGCAGAAGCAGCCAGCCCCGGTTTAGCGTATCCCTCTCGCCCATGCCAGGTGCCCGTCCCCGGCTGCGCGGTGATTGAGGAGCCATGGGGCCTCTGCGGGAGAGCAAGGTGAGGAGCAGGGGGTGGAGGGATGGATGCGGGGACCGAGGAGAGGCAGGGGCAGGGGATGCGGGGACCGAGGAGATGCAGGGACAGAGGAGATGCGGGGACTGAGTTGATGCAGGGGAAGGAGATGCGGGGACCGAGTTGAGGCAGGGGCAGGAGATGCGGGGACCGAGGAGATGCAGGGACCGAGGAGATGCAGGGACCGAGGAGATGCAGGGGCCGGGGTTCGCCTGCCCCTGAGGGATGCTGGCAGGAGTCCCTGCATCCCTGACGCCGGGGGTGTCCCCTCCCCAACAGGAGCAGAAGCTGCAGCTGGAGAAGGAAGTATCCCGCAGCCGCATCCCCCGCCTGGTCCTCCGGCCGCAGCAGAAGGTGTCCCCCGCTTCCGAGTCGCCTTTTTCGGAAGAGGAGAGCCGGGAATTCAACCCGCCCAGTTCCTCCGGGGGCTCCGGCAGGACCGTCAGCAGCAATAGCTTCTGCTCAGGTACCGCAAACAGACACCTCCCCCCCCCCCAACATCCCCCCCAGGCTCGGTCCTCAGCCTGGGGGACATGGTGGGCTCCATCACTCCGACCCCCGAGGCTTTGCCGTCACCCCCAGACACAGCATCCATGTGTCAGGCTCCTCTGGAGCCCACCGGGCATCCTGCTTTGCAGCTGAAGAAGGGCAACCATTGATTTCTGCAGGGAAATCCAGTATCTGTTCTTTTAATACGTGTCCGTAAGCAACACCAGATGTTTCCATTTCCAGCCCTGCTATCCGCCGCTGAAAAGTTGGCGGTTTTACTGCGGCAGAACCGTTGCTTCAAAGGGAAAGATTTGCCTCAAAAACTGCAGTGTGGGATTGAGGCATTCTGAAAAACCCGTGCGTAAGCCAAAGAGGCTGTTAGACAGGGGAGTTGCTATGAAGGGCATCAGACATGGGTCAAATACTGCAGTTCCTTTTAGTTTTGCGACAGCAATCTCCATGCATGGAACAAAATGCATAGGTGAAGTTTTCACTGTCTTAGTGAAGTGAGTTCTGTTTATATGAGAATTCAGTCTTCTCCTGACAAGCATGTCACCAGGCACGGTATCTTCTCTATAGAGAGGGCACTGGCTAGGTGGTGTACCAGAAGTAAATTCCTGCTCTCCAACTACAGACCACGAAAATGTCTTTTGCTCTTCAAAATTAGTATATCCCTTTACTTCAGGGACAACTTGAAACCAGATTATTTTTTTTAATGTTAAATACTTGTCCTGTGTAGAGTTTAGCACAATTTAAGACCCTCAACTAGCAGTGAATGACTCAGATACCTACTAGTGGTGAGTAATCTTTTAATTCAGTGAACCTCTTCACCATGTATGACGTTATGCACGTGGATAAGAACATTGAGGTTCACATCATTAACATCTTGGGCTCTATCTGCATGTGGTAATTTTAAAGATATTTTTGTGACTAAAATAAATAGTATTTTGGAGAGCACAACATTCTACATCTAACTAAAATCTGAATTATAACAGGCATTTTTGTAATGGATAATATTAGAGCAAGCTCCTGGACTTCCTTTTTGTTTGTTCATGAAGTATTTAAATTACCAAAGGCTTTCCTGAGAACAGCCAGAAACACTCGTATTTATCTTTGTCTTCACTGCAGTGGATCAGGTTATTATTTTTTTAATTCCTTTAACAAAATGCAGTGTATTGAACGCTGTGTACAAGAACAGTCAATTTTCCTAAATGTGGAACACAATATCTATGTTTGAGTCTACCATTTCCTTCTTAGCTTGGATAGATTTTGCAATTCAGGCTCACTGAAATGATCTATTTAGTTATTGTTTAATGAACAATGCAGAGCGTTAAACAAACAACATGCTGAAGTCTTTTCCCCATGCCTTTTGACTCCCACCACCTTACCTGTTTGAGTAAATGATAAATCCCAAATGGCTGCTTTTTTTCCTGTTTTTTTTTTTTTTTTTTTTTCACTGTGTGTTGACAAGCCTTTCATCCTGGTTAATGACCTTCTGTTTTATGGTATCTTCTGGTTCTGTATCAAGTTCTTGAGATCTACTGAGCACAGAACTGCCACGGTGATGCCCTTGCTGTCCCACGGCACTGTATGGGCTGTGTCTGGAGTCCCAGCAGAGCTCTGTATTTACTCTGGGGGGGTCTGATCTCAGGAATTGACAGTTCCAAGGCGCCTTTTGCAGAGATATTTAAGACCATGGTGCTGGTCTCTTAACCTGCACAACTGGTAGCATTTTGATTTCCTTTTTATTTCCTTCTTCTATACTTCCAGGAATGCCGTGTTGAGCTAGTTTGATTTTTTCCCCCCCTGTGTGATCTTTGTGCTGCTGGAGCTGCCTGCAGCACCCATACAGGTGTGTGCTACCCAGCCTGGGTGCTGGGGCTCCTCAGGGACCACCCTATCCTCCACCCCAGGATGCGCTTTTGCTGTTGGTAGGTTTGGTGGGCTTTCACGGTGGTGCAGGGATGACAACACTCACTGACTTGATTGCCTCATGCTCTGACGTCCCTGCCTTCTGCTTATCATCCTTCCATACCACCGTATGTCTAATTGAGATTGGAATTCCCCAGCGGCAGCAGGCGGCTGCTGGTTCCTGTCTCCAGGGAGGGGATGGCAAAGAGCTGCGTGGAGAGGTGAGTGGAGGGGCCACAGCCTCTAACCAGCCCCTCCTGGTGCCTGGCTGGGCACTCACCATCCTAACTGGGAAGCGGTGTGCGCAGAAAAGTGTGTCTAAAATTGGCAAGTAATAAATTTGGAAGAGGTGAGCTGATGAATAACACAATGAACGATGGCAGTATTGAAAAGCTCATGAGCATTTGGATAAATGTCTTTTTTGTAACTTCTTTGGAGCATTAAACTCCAAAATGTTCTTGATAAACAGAAGATAGTGTGAATTGACTCCTGGAATAATTCCTTTCCTCTTTATCCTTCTCTTAAGCTGCTCTCTACCTTTCTTCCTTTATTATTGACACCAAGTGGTTATGATGAGTAGATTTCTTTTTCCCTCAGTAGGAATGCTATTTTTTTCCTTGTCTATTTGCATATGTATTTCCTGCTTGATTCCCTGGAGCTTCTGAGGTTGTCCATTTTCCCTACGTGCTTACTTTGATCCCAACACATACGTGAAGGCTTGGGAGTTCTTTCTCTCTAAATGAGAGCAGCAGGGGCTTCCAGGTATCGTTCATATTGGTTTAGGTAGGGGGAACCTTGGGGAACCGTGGCAGCACTGTGAGCACAAAAAAATACCTCTCGGCAACAGACAAGAGACACTTTGTTTTAATGCCAGGTTTCTTTTGAAGAAGTTGTTAGTTCTGGCTGAGATAAGTTTTAAATTTGCGTGATCAGCTCCCTCTTTGTCCTGTGGGACTGGGTCAGAGACTCGGTTGATGGTGTTGGTCAGTTATTTGTAATTGACCTTGTGTCAGTTCTTTGTAAGTCCACGTGAAACAGGGTGAGACTTACCTGTGATGTGTGTTTTTGATGTTCTTTGTCTCTGCCAAGCGCACCCGGGTGCTGTCTGGGTGCCGTGTAGGCAGGATGAGCCCACCCTGCACCTTCCTTCCCTAAAACTGTGGTGCCCCTGGGGTGCTGTGTGTGGCTCGATGCGGGAGCGCTCCCCTTCCTCCAGCGCTGCCCTGCTTCGCTTGGATGTCGGCCACAGAACTGCTGTGATGTCAAACGGTGAAAAAAAAAACCAACGCTTTCCCAGCAGCTTCCTCTGGCTGGGCTACTGCAGAGCATTGGCCCCTGGGTGTGTGTTTTCCCCATAAGTTGCCTCTGGCTGGGCAGCGTCCGGGCGCTCTCCGCCTCCGTCGGGAGGAGAGCACGAGGTTAAAGAGCGAGCCATCGCTCACGGGTCCATGGAGAGGGGCCGGGTGCCTTTGGTAACTCCAGTCGGAGTGCTTGCCTTGCAAGAAATCGGATCCTCAGGGCGGGGCGTTATCCCCGATTCCTGTGTACACGGCCTTTTGGTGCCCAGCCAGTTGCGTAGTGGAGCAGAGGCAGCCTGTACGTGCTAAGCTCGGTAACAGTCCTTGAAGCTTTTCATTCCAAAAGGGAGTTAGTTTGGGATATATTTTTAAATTTCTCCTTACGAAGAAGAGCTGTTACATGCCACCTTCATATCGACGCCCAAGATTTCCTTCAGCCTCTCTCCAGAAGCCGGCCGCCTGATCCTGCAGGTAACGCAGCCATGCAGCACTGCTGGAGATGCAGCTTTTCAGGAGGCACTTGGGCTGATTTAATGATCAGTTCAGCAAAAGGCATTTTGAGGAAGAGGACCTAGTTTATTGCCATCGTGAATGGTTCCTCTTTTCTTCGGCTTACCTGCAAATTGCCTTTTTAACTAGACTGCCTAGTACTATTGGCCATTGAAAAACAGTGGTGTTTCTGTATCTGAATGGTTGAGGCTCACTCCAGCAAAGTTTTCAAAAAAGGGAGTTGAAATTTTTTTTTTTTACTTTTTCTTTCAAAAGTCAAGGTCTGGGGTTCAGTGCTCATTTCATAACTTGAGATTTTTTTTTTAAATCTCGCTCTTCACATGCGTGTCACAGTCCATGTGCTGCTCTGTGAGCCCCAGGGTGCAAGTGCTGCAGGAGGAATCTCAGCGTTACCGTGCCCTCTGCTCACTTGCCTCTGTGCACGATCCCCTTGAACTTGGAGATTATTTGCCAACGGGCCCAGCTGTGGATGATGCTGGGGCTGAGATTGCAGTGCATATGTCAAAAAAGAGCATGTAGGCTTCAGGCGGGCTTATTAAAGTCAATGTGGATGTGGTACCTGTATTGCCAGCCACAGATGGGAGGAGGAGCGGTGTACGGGTGGTACTGGATGAAACGCTGTACCTTCTCATGCTCCAGTAAATAATTTCTTTGCTAGAGCTCTGAAGTAGGTTGTATTGAAAACCAGCTAGCCCTGGAGGCTGCACTGCTACATAGCTATTTCTGAATAGAAAAAGATGGTGGAAAACAAATCTTCAGTATTTTAACAAATCAACAGATTGAGGCCAGAGAGTTATTATGAATTACTGAAAATAATTACCTCTGTTATTTGTGTGCGTGTATATGTATGTATGTATATATGTATGTATTATTATGGAAACAGTGAGGTCTGTCATTCTTCTTTTCTTGTTATAAGAAGAAATATTTGGTTTAAATAGTTCCTTACAGGTTTGTCATTTTTTCAGTCTGAGTTACTGAATCAAAGAGATATGTTTCAAAGGGCACAAGTATGTGATGCTGAAAGTTAGCTTCTCCTTCCTGCAGCCCTTCATGCTACACTTTTGCACAGTCCCTTTGCCATTTTTCCAGACTTCTGAAGTGGAGACCTTCTCTGGTGCGTTGGTTTGCAGCGCTCTGTAAGGCAGCTCCGCAATCACCGCGATACTAATTTGCAAAAACGGTGAAACAAAATCTGCTTTCAAAAATGGGAGCATGGCCTTTGCAAAAGGGTGGCCCTGGTGACATGCTTCCTTTCCTC